TCTACTTGAATGCTGTCCAGCAAACGTTTGATCAGCAAACACAACGAGGTCATGTAATTAGGTTACAATGGATTGACATTAGATCGATGAATAGCACGCAGTATGAAGAAGTGATTTTAAATGCAGTAAACGTCGTTACCGAGGTAAACTTCTCGACTTTTTCCCACTACTTGAAAATTATAATTGTTTTCACTTACTCCTCTTTTCATTTTTTCATTTCTTCGCGTTCGCCTAGGGATTTATTACTGTTTTAACTAATACCACAGCTTTCTTACATGCACGCTACTCAGCTACACGCAATGCTCGTCTACGACTTAAGGATAAATATTATTTGTTTTTGTGTGAACATGAAGATCCTGTGGAATTTTTACGCAACGAACTATTACAGTGTAAGTCACACTAAAATCTATGGCATTTATATGAACTGTCATCTGAAGATGATATATTAAATTGTAATGACTTTTTTTTAATGTGAACAATCCCTCAGGGGATGGCCTCTATTCCTGTAACACTGTCGTAGTGAAAAACAAGTCACTAAAGAGATAGAAATAGGCGATTCTTATCTACTGGGCTAATCATAAGATCGTATGCCGTTCTTAATGAAGAGAGAGAAGACGCAGAACACCAACACCTAAAGCAGAAAAGCAAAAGTACTGCAGTCTTATTCCCTGTCAGAAGCCGATGTTAACAATTTTCCTTACTTGTTGAAGTACATCATATATCGGTTCGAAGTGCAAGCATTAAATAGAAATATTTTTGTAAAATTCCATTTTATTCTTCGTATATCTTTTGTGAATGACACAAGTAACCCAACGCTGCTCTAACATTTCGACGAAGTTTTATACGCTACATCAATTGTGATACAGGATTAAGTTAGTGCGGATGTATGTAAAGCGCAGAAGGACTTGAAATAAACACGCCTTCCATTATACCGATCGATTCAGAATCATTATCTGAATTGATTTAAGCTTGTCTGTCCGTCTGTCCGTCTGTCCGCCTTATGTCTGTTCATCTAAATTTGTGCTCAAGCTACAAGTCGCAATTGTTGAGTGATGGTTCATGATGATAATTATATCATAATAATAACATAACAAAAAGTAAGAAACTAAGAATAAGGATTTTCACGAAATTTGATCCTTTGTAGAACAGAAAAGTTGGAGCCTTAATAAGTCATGACCCGTAATAATAATTTCATACAATAATGAGAATTATGTTAGATAATGTGGTGTGGATTATTTAACAGCCAGCCTTACCCGACTACAAAGTTCTTACTAACGATTTGTCAAGACAATGAAAACACGCCGCGCTGTTTGCAGCAATTTCACCATTTCACCTCAGTCTTTTTTCCTGAAACTTTCTTTTGATTACTGTAGAGAGATAATACTCGTTCCTGGAGAGTTCAGCGGGTATATGTAGTAATTCGATTCCCAATTTTTCAATTTTGCCTTTGTAGCAATGGATTTGTAACAGTGTGTTTTTGGTTGTTCATACAAAGTAGTGATAATATTCTCTTTGAATAGCTTAACTTAATTTTTCAATTATTGAAAATAAATTTTTAAGGATTTTATTTTGCGGTTTAACCGCCTGACCTGGTCATCTACTTTCAGTATTTTATATTCTCTTACTTTTCTGTTAATGTTGATATTAGAATTTTTTTTAGTTTATCCACATCATCTTATGATTGTACCCAGAAGCAAGTATAACAACTATGAAATTAAACAGAACAAAGCCGATCGTATATCCAAAGCTCAAAATATGGTAAAACAAACATCATGGTCTAGTGGTAATGCTACAATCAAAACAACAACAAGTATAGTAACCACATCTGATGGAACTTCAGCCTTTAGAAACTGTAAACAGTGCCCGGGTCATCGTAACTTTAATTTTGAATTGTGGACACAAAAGTACGTTGGTACTGTTGGCAATTTGGATGCTAAACACTTGGATACTTATCTTGCAAGTGAAAGAACTTTTCTCAAAAACACTGACCTTTATCCGGACAAACTTACAAAGCTACATGGACGTACATTACGAATGGGCTCACATACGTACTTACCATACGCGTCAACTAATTATGTGGTAAGTCTTGTAAATATATGTATTCTGTACTCGGTACTCTACAGTAGTATGTCAAGCAATATAATATAGAAGAACAAAAAAAAATACATATGGACGGACGCTTGAAATTTAATTCTTGCTGTCATGTCTTTTTTTTTTTTTTTTTTATATGCATATGCATGGCACTTGCATATAATGTCACTTAATCGTAAACGATTGTTATTGCGTCCGTTTTTTTGTTCTCGTCCTTTTTTTTTTTATGAGGATTTATTTGGTTTTATATTTGTATTTTTGGTTTGTTGCCAATCTACCGAAAGTTTAAAAACGACTTGCTCTACGTTTACAAGCCATTTGCAAATGGTAACAAAAAACTAGAAAATTTTTATACCCGACTTAAGTCGAACACTTCGTTAAACCAATATAAATTCATCCTTAATGTATGGCGAATATTTTACTTAGTACATTGCCTTATGTATATAAGGCATGAATGACGTTTAACTCAGATTCGATTAGAATTATTTGAGAGGTGAATTTTTTCTAGCCAGTATTTTATACTACAATTAAAAATTTCACGCTTTCACTCGTATAGCTTCCATGAGTTCTCCATCTTTTTCGCTTAAAGGAACTCACTTCACGCTTTCATTTATTAAATGTTTATTCTTTAAGTTATCTTCATAAGTTAGATTTATTGCTCTTATTATTATAAATTTAGCCAGAGAATAAATTCTACGACTAAAGTTTTAAATTGCTAGTACCTAAGGCTTTCGGCTTTATTAAAAACTCTACCGCACTTGACATTTGAATCCACGACCATTGAGTTACTAGTCGAGACTCTTACCTACTCAGTCATTCGGGCGGATTTTTATTATTTTTTATATACATAAATTCTCGATTAGACTTAGAGATTTTAAATCAGGCGGTACAACGACACCGGCTGACTCAGCTTACCGCTTAAACGCTGTTGAAAGTACTTCCCTTTTTGTATTTTTCCCCTTCAAGCTCGAGTGAAATGTTGTTTCTATGATACCCACTTCTTAGGCAATTCTCAACTATATTTTTTAAATACCCGAAATATCCTTTAGACGTGGGCTGATGTATACATAAAGATGATGGTTATAGAAAACGTGGACAACGTAGATAATCGTTCGCTTGGCAACCGTTAACTCCGTTCAAAAGAATGTTTAAGTGTCCAGAAAAAATGCAAAAAAATGCTGCATTTTTCTAGGACTGTCTCCACTTGCTCCACTTATTGCCGCCATGTAAGTGTACTCAGGGTTATGAGCAAACTCCTATTCTTAATGTCTTTGATTAGCGTTACTGGTCTTCAAAATTGATTGTCAGCGTTTGCTTGATTCAGGCAAAGTATGATGCTATTGAATTACTTAATGCCTTTAGCCAACTGATATCTCCGGCATTATTAGAAGTTTTCGACATGTCTAACAAACGTATATTTTGTATACATATGAACATATATATTATGTAAACAATTCATATACACATTTCGTACAGCCGGCTGGAACGGGTAACGTGGATGCAATAGACCCACAAGCCCATAATCGGACAGTATCCTTCATTGGTTCCGAAGCAGAATTAATCATTAGTTTTTGTCATAACTACGATTGCCATTTAAGAGTTCAACCTTGTAAGCCAGCAATTAGCTAAACTTCTGCTGTAGAACACTTTTTTTCCCATTAAATATTTTGAAATTTCTTTCTAGACGGCGAAAATGGTTGGGGCGATGTTTATGATAATGGAACTGGCGTAGGCATGTTTGGCGGCTTATTCGCGCAACATATAGAATGTGCAATCGGATCTATGTATGATTGGTATCATGACTTGTATGAAGTATCGCACGAAATTGCCGAAACAAAGATAAAATTTGTGACACCAGGACCATCGTAATTATAAGATTTGAATAAATGTTGTTTGATTTGATTGCTTCATTAATTGTTGCAACTTTTTAGACAATACCCACGCTGGCGCATCATTATTATGCCATTCTCCTTAAAAGCCTGGATTGTTATTGCTTTTGCAATTTTATTATATTCATTCATATTTCAGTTTATTAAATATTTAGGATATTGTCTGCGACCAACGCGTTCCCTTCAAAAGGAAAAATATAAATTTATAAAGCATTTTCTTAAAACTCTGCTAGATGTCTTTGCGGTATTTATACAGCAACCTTCAGCAGATACAAGGTCAGAGTTGTAAAACCGCTTGATTGCTATTTTATCAGAGACGTTAAATATCTTTTCTAATCCGTAGTCTTCATCGCATTGCTTCACGGGTTTGCTTGGCAACGCTTCTATTTGCGACACTCACTTTAGAAAATACGTACAGTGGGCAGCTGAAATCTTTTCTTACAGCACCATTATTTACGGATCCCGTGGATACTATGGACAAATGGACTAAAACGAATTGGAAATGGACAGCGCCGTCGATGGAATGGATCATTAATGTCGAAGATTCCGACTTGGTCAAGGATCAGATATTAGCTCAAAAATTTGAAGTCAATGATCCCGATTTCTTATACAATATCAGTTTCCGCGATGACTATGGCTTGGGAATTGAAGGTTTATTCAGCGGTTCATTTACATTTGGTAAATATATAACAGCACCAGCATTGGAAGGAAAAATTGTAAGTTATATTAACGCAATACTTTATCTGCCATCGTGGACCGGATTGAGTTCACCTATACGTTTTATTAATAAGAGAGCCCTGTTAAGGCAAATGGTAGGTGTCTTTGCTAGTTAAATTCGCATTTATCTTCACACGCTTTGTGAATCTTTTTGTTAGAGACACCATCTATTCGCCATTGTTAGGGATTGTGGACCGCCGTGTTATATATGTATTCTAGTTTGTTAAGCGTAGTAATACTTTTACCATATCCATGTTTATAAGATATAATCTACATTATTAGGTAACTAAAGACGCTTTATACACGGCTTGGACTGTGGCTGCGGGTATACGAGGTTGGCCGTTAATGCCTTTACTAAATCGACATATATCGCATTGCTTCGAAACGGGTTTATATACACATTGGGAAAA